AGACAAACTAGTTTCCAGCAGATTCAAATGATTGAATGGATTTTTGTGCACAAAACAAATGACGAGCTCATGAAATATGATGTTTTGTTGTTAAATAAACTTATACGAGTACATCTGAAACGACTAGTCAGTGAATCAGGTATCTGAAACTGAACTGGAAACTATTTTGACAATCATTTAGGTCGAAACATTTCATGGTTCCAGTTTCACAAATGTTAAGACTTCAAATGTTTTATTAATTTTTAAAGTATTTAAGGCTGTTTGAATGAAACAATCACAATAAAGATGTCAGTTTGGGCTTCTTCTTTTTTTTTTTTAACTAGTTTTGTACAGGTCAATCACTCACTCGATTGTTGGAGAAAATAATCTCCAGATTAATCCATAATGGAAATAGTCATTAGTTGCAGTTAATAATTCAAAATTCACCCTGCCTCAACCAACTACAGCAGTAAAATCCTGCTTTGACATGAATGCACGAGTGATAACAACAGAATTATATAACAGTATAACAGTATAACCGTTAGTGGAGTCATTTTTCTACAATGACTACTTTTACTCTTTAAGTACATTTTCCTGACTATCCTTGTTTACTTTTCCTTGTAATAGAGTATTTTCCAGTGCAGTATTTGTACTGCTGCTTAAACATAACTGAATATTTCTCCACTCCAGCTGATCATAGATATAATCTGTCAAACTGAAGGACCAACACATACAACAACTCATCCATCTGTGCTGCTGATGTCCTCTGAAACAACTTGATGCGATTCTGATTTGTTGTGTGTTGATTGCTGATCATGAGCACATTTGCTGCTGGCTGTGAAACTAATTGCCCCTCGAGGAGTCGTAAGTTTATCTTGACCTTCTGTTTTAAAGATGGCACGAAAAAAAAAAAAAAAGAAGTGAATAAATGTAATAAATCGTGGCAGCGCTCTGTGTACACAACTCCACTGAGTCCCTCCTGCCTGGCTGCAGCCTGTGCTGAGACTTTTCAATATTTAAAGTTTGGTCGCCTCAAGTCACAAGACAATAAGCAATTAGCCACACAACGGGGGACTTATCAGATTTCATTAACTTTCAGCAAGAGTGATATCTCAGCATGTTAGCAATCCTTGGATATGAAGGAGGGGGATGCTGTTTCATGTGAAGCCTAAAAAATCACTCAGCTGCTCTTTATTATTTATTACCAAGTGCAGCAGCAGGGATTCTTCTCACAAAATAGCTCAGCAAATGCCCTGTTAAGGGGTTATTAATAAAGACATGTGACCACACAGTGGCAATAAAACTGTAAAAACACTCTCCTCCTGATGTTTTACTTGATGTCTAGTTTGTTTTCTGCCAAGAACAGAAAACCTTTTCTTCCACATTGAAGAGCTGTTCCATTCATTGTTTTCTCTTCTCATTGGTCTTATTGAACCAACGTACTCACTTCCATGGACACACTTTAGCTCCTGGTGTGACGTAGCACCTATCACAATTGACCACTGTAAAATATAGTATTTCTCTATAAAGCCACCCACTGGTCAGGGAGTTATCAGCTGCTTTTACATGTTTAGTTTGTTTACAATACATGCTGCAACTTTCATAACAATTATTTCTTCTTCACTGAATAGTTGTTGAAGTTTAGAAAATATCAGAAAATGTAATGTTATTCAGTTCAGGTCATAAGGAAACCAGGAAATGTTCATTTCTAGGAGCTGGGACCAGAAGATTTTGACTTTTTATATCCTAAAACTTGGGGGCACCGGAATCTTTCTGCGTGGAGTCTCCATGTTCTCCCCGTGCAGTGTGGGTTCTTTCCGGGTTCTCCGGCTTCCTCCCACACAGTCCAGAAACATGTTGAGGTTAATTGGTGATTCTAAATTGTCCGTAGGTGTGAATGTGAGTGTTCTTGGTTGTCTGTCTCTAAGTGTGGCCCTGCGATGGACTGGCGACCTGTCCAGGGTGTCCCCTGCCTTCGCCCTGAGTCGGCTGGGATAGGCTCCAGCCCCCCATGACCCTAGTGAGGATTAAGCGGTGTATAGATATCCTAAAACTTCCTCAAACTGAAAAATAACCAAAATAGTTTAAAATGTATTTAATAGTTGGTAACCAGTTAACTGTTTAAAAGCATTGCATAATAATCCATGAGCCAACAGCAAAAAGCTGAACTGTTGTCAAACACCTAAATCTCTGTGTGCATAAACTGACTTAAAAAGTAAATCTCCAACTGGCAACAACCCCTCCTTAGAGGTCAGATGCTTCTCTTCATTCATTTGTATGGAGCTCATGTTCAAATTTACAGCTTTAGAAATTATTTTTCATTCTGACTGCGATCTAAATTAAAAAAAATATTTTTTTAAACAAAAAAGAAAACAAAGAATATATGTCCAAGAATAACCACACAGTTCAATTTAGTTGGACAAAAAAGAACATTTATTTGCAATGCTGAATTATCCCATCTTGGCCAGCCTCTGAAGACGACTCGACCCAGTTGTGGAGCTGTCAGCAGACATCTAGTCCAGCTGTGTGAAAACAAGATAAGGAGAGACGTTAGTAAAAGTGAAACAACGAGCAGATAGTCAGACATTGAAGCACTAACACACAGCTCTTTACAGACGTGCTACATTATAAATGATCTGTGTGCAGAATGTATTAATGTGCACTAGTAGAAAAACACCAGACAAAGAGCTTGTTTTCTAAATTACTGACAAACACAAACAGAAGTTAAATAGGAGTACGTTGAAGTGTATTCATGGCCTTCCATTCATTCCAGTGACGCTCTACATTGTCATACATGGTTGTATGTTGTGAAATGTGATCGTTTAACCAGTTAATCGAGCTATAAATTGTCATTTTGATTTACCTTGACGAAGCCGATGTCTTTAGCGTACTGCCTGAAGCACTGGCGGCACATGTTGAGCCCGTATTTACGGATCAAACCGTGTCTGTTCGAGCACACTCGGCTGGAATGAAAAGAAAAAAATGGGTTAAAATACAAATATTTGCATGAAATAAAGGATCAATTGTGCCTGAAGCCACCAGTCATTCAGAATGCAAGTACGGAAGCTGACTGGGTGCCGGTTAGCATTCGGTCACTCATTCCGAGCATCATAGCTAACTTTAGCTACATAAATGCTAATGTTATTTGTGTTAACGTTAAGCTAGCATGCAATCTCCACATAACATTCACTCAAACTACCTCTACGAGTTCATTCTGAGCTGATTTCTGCATTTTGGACTTTAAACAAGAGCAGTTGTTTCAGAAACAGAGCGGGGCTAACAGAACACAGAGCTAATGCCAGGAAGGCGCATCCACCGCCGCCATATTAGCTCGAGATCAGCGCCCATGCGGTGCAACTTTGGCAGCATTTTACCAACACTAAAAAGCCGCAAACACCTTAAAACGAACACGTTTTAGCGCATTTATCGATAATCGACAGAATAATGGCGACACTGACCAGGAGCGGGATCCCTGGCCGAACTTTCTGGGGTGACTCCAGTAGAGCTGCTGGTGGCCCATCTTGTCTCTTTTCGCTCGAGTATCGGAAAGGAAGAACCAGGGACGCGCATGCGCAGTTGAGGCTGCAGCTGTGTCCTGTTTCCGGTTGTGGAGTTGTTGTGTTGCGCCTCCTGGTGGCGGCAGACAGGTGGCGCTGCGCCGCCATGAAAAAAAGGTTCAGAGTAAACAGTGAGTTGTTTTATTGACAGTGTTTCTATCAACAAAATGCATTTTAAGGGGAGAAACAACAAGTTGGAAATAACAAAAAATAATTTTCATAGATTTAATTATTCTCTGGACCTAATTTGGATATAGACTGATCAACTTGAAACTGGACAAAAAATTATTTGAAAGATGAATTTTATACCGTGGTTAGAGGTTGTTTTTCAGATAGATTAAATATGATAAGAATTAAACGTGCAGTTGGTAATTCAGTCTTTCAGTCTTTCTTCATTTGCATATATGTTTATTAATACATAATGTAAACAGATGTTTCTAGTTACATACATGATATTTATACATGTATTATTTATATTAGTCAGATAAATTTATGCAATCAATAATAGATTGGCTGAATTTTTAGCTATAACATTTAGCCAGGTTGAATTGTATTATATGTAGCTTATCATTATAACCATAATATTTATATTAAAATTATTGTCGGGTCTTACCTTAATATTTAAATGTAAGTTATCAGGAATCTTATTTCTCTACTGGAAGTCACGTATGTGTTATAAATATATATAAATAAAATGCATATTAAGCCTCATTATAAACTTGCAAAGTAGCTAAAGCTCTGCATATGACGATCTTAAAGTAGGTTTTTAAATAGGTCAGGTTAAATTGTCTTATATAGCCTAATATTGTAGTTTTTTTATGAATATTTAAATTGTACAGTCAGTAATAGTGTAGGTTACTACTCTTAATATTCATATACAAATAAAATGTATAAGCCTTTGTATGAACCTGTGGAGTTGTTGCAGCTCAATATATGATTAGCTTAAAGTAGATTATTAACCATAATATTTATACATTTATTATGCATATAAAGTCTTAGTATGAACTTGTGCATCAGTTGCAGCTCAATATGTTGAAGTTTTAAGCCTTAAAATTTAATTTAGTCAGGTTAAATTGTACCATAAACAGCCTAATATTGTTGGTTATTAACCTTAATATTTATATATGTGTTATTATAATGTATATGCATCAGTTTTAGCTCAGTATATGTTGATATTAAAGTAGGTTTTTAGCCTTCACATACAAGTTGATCAGGTTTGACTGTATCATAAACAGCCTAATATTGTTGGTAAGTAACCTTCATGTTTTTATTTATGTAAATATAATGTATATTAAGCCTTAGTGTGAACTTGTGAATCAGTAATAACTCAGAATATGTTGATATTAAAGTAGGTTTTTAGCCTTAACATTCCAGTTTTTCAGGTTAAATTGTATCACAAACAGCCTAATGTTGTTGTTTATTAACCTTAATATTTATATATGTGTTATTATAATGTTTATGCATCAGTTTTAGCTCAGTATATGTTGATATTAAAGTAGGTTTTTAGCCTTCACATATAAGTTAATCAGGTTAAACTGCATCAGAAACAGCCTAATGTTGTTGTTTATTATCCTCAATATCTTTATATATATTATTATAATGCATATAAGGCCTTAGTGTGAACTCTTGCCTCAGTAATAACTCGGCTCGTGGACATGAGCGGCAGCCTGCAGCAGCAGATTCCTGGACTCGGCTGCCCCCCGCTGGCCCGGTGCATTGTGGGACAGCAGCAGCCGCTGGTTCCGTATTTGGGCTTTTGGCTGCTAGCAGACAGTTGCGTTTCCATCCATGCAGCTCGCAGGAAGGTATGGAGGAGAACGGCCCGCCGCCGTGCTGATGTTTCCCGGTGAAAGGACCGCTCGGCCGCGCCAGATTTAGGTAACCGGTGTGAATGCGCTTGTTGTGGTTCCGTCATGGACGCTGGTGTTGTTGTTGTTGACGAGCTCCGGGCTGGACGGCTGCTGGGAAGTTGCTAGCTCAGGCTAACTTACTGTTAGCATTTTTCCGGGGGAGCTCGCCGCCGTTGCAGACCGACGCCGAGGTGTTTGTTTTCGGGCGCGTTTTTGGTGTCCGTCGGTGAGACAAACGGTAATCCGGTGATTTTAAAATAAATCGATGCAAACCGTCGCTGGTTCGGTGGTTCAGACAGCGGCCAGTTTAGGACAGAAAAACTACCGGATGGAGGCTGAGGAGGCGAACAGAGAGCCAGGGCTGGAACACGGCAGGCACCGTTAGAATGAACCGGAGACACGCACACAGAGAAAAACACTGTCAGCTGCAGAAAACTGTTCATTTAGCGAGAATATTAAAAGCATCCAACGTGGGGAAACCTAACAGGGACATTATAATGTAAAGGAATGAAGTAAATAGGCTACATTGGCTTTGTTTTGAATTCAACAGCTGTAATATAAATCCAGATGTTCAGGGAAACATCTGCAGCACACATTGATCACACATGCATGGAACAAATTAGAGGAGAAAATAATAAAAACCAAGCACTGGAGCACACAGTCAGAGGTTTCCAGCAGCTTTTTTTGCTTTTTCTTGTTGTTTACTAAACTGTGATTTCAGTTTGAGGAGAAAAACTTAAAGAGCGAATGAGCAAAATTCAGTTTGCAAATTTAAAAGGTTTGCACATGGAACGGATGATTATTTTCACTGTCGGTTAGTTATTTAGACGATAAAATTTTGATTTCCCAAAGCCTAAGATGCCAAATATTTCAGCCACAACCTGACAATATTCAGTTTATTGTCATAGTGGAGGGAAAAAACTGAAATTATTCACATTTAAGAAGCTGCAATCACAGAATTAAGACCTTTTTTCCTTGAAGAACGCCTCAAGCTGCGTAATCGATTATTAAAATAGCTGCAGATTAATCAAATAGATCAGTAGAGCATTGCAACTGTATTTTCTTTCCATTTTCTTTGCTAATTAATGTTTTTTTTTTAATTTTCTCGCCTTGTTTTCTGCACAATACACTCATGATAATGATTTTTAAATGGATACGATCAATTAATTATCATATAGAGAAATGCCTGGAGGTGATATATCACACGATTGTTTTTCTTGATGATGAATCTGTTCGTTGTTTTCTTGATCATCTGTCAGCAGCTGCAGTTTTATCCAATAACGAGGAAACAAATCAGATATTCACCTTTTGGATTGTTGGAATAAACAGATAATATCTTTATGGTTAAACACTAGTTTTGCAGCTTCATAAAAGTGAAAGTTTGGATTTTTACAAAACTTTTGGAACATTTCACTCTCACTGAATACGTAGGAAATTGCATATATGCTGCTTATACATTTGACAGTATGACAGTGAGGCGAATATATTTTATGTCAGCTTTTGAAATATACTTCTTTAAATACAATACTTTCAAAGTAAAAGCCCGACTCTTCTCCAGCGTCTGTTTTATCTTCAGAAAGCTCGGTGATTATTGGTATTATTAGCCTTTTTATAGCTTTATCATTTTATCGTATACTAGGGGTGCCCAATCCTGGTCCTCGAGAGCCCCTTTCCAGCATGTTTTAGATGTTTCCCTCGTCCAACACACCTGATTCAAATGATCAGCTCATCATCAAGCTCTGCAGAAGTGTGATAACGATCCTGATCATTTGAATCAGGTGTGTTGGAAGAGGGAGACGTCTAAAACATGCAGGACTGTGGCCCTCGAGGACCAGGATTGGACAACCCTGTTGTATACTTACCGTAAAGTATAAATCAGATTGTGGTCCATGTGTTGGGTATGTTTATCAGCCAGTTACCAGGAATATGTTTGTTATCAGAGACTCGGTATTAAAGTTAGTGACACACTGTGGTTTGGAAAATGGAATCTGGATCAGAGATAATTAAAAAGCTAATCAAAATATTAGTGACATAAAACCCAAATTGCAAGAGCTGCTGTTGTTTTGATGAAGGTAGAATAAATAAATCACGTTCTCTCACATTTCTATATTTGTTCCAGTGGAAAAGAGTTGCAGAAATCCCCACTAAACTCGTGACTCATATCACAATCTGACCGTTTCTTCTTTCTTCTGTTTTTGCACATCGCTCTAATTGTCGTGCAGCCGCTGGGCCGAGCCTCCAGGCGGGCGGGAGACAGATGACGAGGTCAGATATACGAAGCCAGAGAGACCGCAGATTTAATAACACGTAAAATACGGGGGGTTTGCTCGGCAGGTCCGAGCGCCGATCAATATTGATAATGCGGAAATTAATGCAGGAGAAAATAAGACGGCGCGGAGCCTTAATCAACATTGATAATAAGTTAAGATGGAATATGGAGGAGAGGAAAGACTTGATGGATTAAATCGTGTTTGCGGTTTCAGGGATGCCTTCTGCACAGGCCTCTGGCTCGTAATGTAAAATTAAATGATTGATATTGGAAGTGTGCTTCCAGTAAGGCTGGATAATTATCATTTATGGAATGTCAGTAATCTTATTCTGTTGTTATCCTGCTAAAAATGTCATTGTGTTGTGCAGAAGTTTTAGGCACGACGTTGATATTAAACAGTTTAAACTTCACACAAAGTGCAGCAAACTTAAAAAAAACACAAAATTAAATAAGTTGTGGGTCTGACCAGCTTTTAAAACACCATTTTTCAAGGTACTTGGCAGGTTTGTTGGACCAGAGTCCTTTTATGATAATGTGTTCCTCTAATAAAACTCCTAAACATGAGGGGCGTGTCACTCCCAAGTTTTTTTTTTTATTGCTGAGTTTTTGGTCCGACAGTAATTCATGAGCAATTTTAAAGTTCCCTCTGGAGAAGTTTGAGGTGGACAAGAAGACTCCAAAGTCAGATAAAGTCACAGTCAGTTCAAATCTGCAGGAAAATCTCAGAAAAATACAGCGTTTAAAAACCACATATTTGAATAGTGTTAGGCTCCATTCATTTGAAATAGAAACAACACAACCGATTAACACTGGATATGGTAGTTTATACGTCTTAGCACAGACTAAAATCAGTATTTCATAATAATTAATCAAACCACAACCTTGTTCTTTGATTATTTATTTTACACACATTAAAAAAAACCCTTGAATCTACATGTTCAGCGTTTTACTGGAAGAAAGTGGTGACTCTACACGTTACAGATATTTTACTGATGATATTTTTTATGCGTTTCCGTCTCCTCATAAACACAGCCTGCAGTTCAGCCGAGAAGCTCCTGAATTTCAGTCTCGTTGCTGTCGGCTGCAGCTCAGTCAGTCATGGCTCCTCAGTTGTGCCAAGAAATGCAGAATTCTTTGATTTTTTTACAGAATATGGTCACAGCAGAGAGTTTGGTGATTTTTTTTTAACGAGACAACTAGAATGAAGTGACTTTAAGTCAAGTCAAAGTCGCTTTATTGTCAGTTCTGCTGCACGGATATACAGACAGAGAACTGGAATCGAATTTCTGTCGAACCCTGATTTAAAAAAAAAAAAAAACACAGCGGAAAAATATACACACTAAAAAATATGTAAGCTAAACATATAATAGGCTAAAAAAATATACAGTCTAGACCTCTAATAAGCTACAAAAATACAATCTGAACATTTTATAAGCTACAAAATATACAATCTAAACATATTATAAGCTACAAAATATACAGTCTAGATCTATAGTAAGCTACAAAATATACAATCTAGACCTCTAATAAGCTACAAAAATACAATCTAAACATTTAATAAGCTACAAAATATAAGTAAACGCACAAAAAACCTCAGAAGAATCTGCATAAGGCTCATATTGAGTCTTTGGTTCCGAACCAGATTTGTATATAAAAAATAATGTGCAGTGAAAACAGTGCAGTGAACGAGCTTATATATGCTTTCAATAAAACATCACGATTTTAAGCTTAGATTTGTTTAATTTTCTGCACATCTTCCATAATTAATTCAAGGACTGTTTATAATTTTCCGGTTTTTCTTGACTGAATATTAAGTGTACAGTTGTTTTGAATAAAAGGCCTTTTAAAGCTACGTCCATGTCTGCAATCCAAAAACATCTTGATATTTACCTGTTTAACACATTTAAATAGTTTCCAGATTCACCATCCCTCTTCCTCCTGCTGCTCCTTTTTCCTTCTTTCCCACGTACGAGCTCGAACGTGCACGAGCTTGAACGTGCACGCGACGCACACGAATCGCCTCGTGTAGATCGATCTGTGTGTGTTTTCCGTTTGCCGGTGTAACGGCGTGTCAGAGTTGCGTACTTCACCTTTAACAAGCGAACGTCTTCGGTTTATCTCTGAGACGTGTCATGTGTAGCAGCAGTGGCCTCCGTCTTACCTCGGGAGTCGTCTTTGTTCCTCGCTAGAAGTTTCTCTCAGCAGCTTTGTGGCAAAACTCACTAAGTAGAAAATCTTAGTTGTGGAACTTTTACTGCCAATTAGGAGGACTTCTAGTAGCGAGATAAGATCCTGTGCGAGTTTCGCCCGAGGGCTCAGGGGAGGAGGCGCCACCATCTGTTGTTGGACTCCTTTTTGTCACCGAAGATAGTTTTTCAGGACTCCGGCTGGATTATTTTCATTGTCAGTTATTTTCTCAATTAATCCCTTAGATGTTTGGTCTGCAAAGCGTCAGCTAATGGATAAAAAAAATATGATGCCAAAGCTCAAGATGACAAATGTTTTCGCCACAAACCGAATATATTCAGTTTACTGTCACAGAGGAGGAAAGAAACCAGAAAATATTCACATTTAAGAAGCTTTAATCACAGAATTTATCTTATTTTTCTTCTTTAAAAAAATCCCTTAAATCTCTAAATCAATTATTAAAATGGTTCACAGTTAATTTAATAGTTGACAGCTAATCTATTTACTGATGAATCATTGCAGCTCTGCATGAAATACAGTCCTCTGCTGTCGCTGAGGTTTTCTCTGCTGGAGCTTTTGCTCCGTCATATCTTGTATTATTTTTAGTTTTTTACCAGTGATGCCCAGTTTTTGAACGCATTATATTTTATTATTGTTCTCTTCTTTATAAATTGCCTCAAGCTTGCAGTGTACAGTTTGAGAGTTTTCGCAATATTCTCCGTAACTTTTTAAGCCCTCAGCTAGTTCTTTTTTTTTTTTTTTTTGAAACTTCCAGCTGGGAAATACATCCCAAATTCAGTCAGTAACGGCCACAGAGGCGCCAGGCCAAAATAAACAGCCCTGGGCTCTGTGGATAAGACTCGCTTGGGACAGTTTTGAAGTACAATAAGTATTTGTTTGTGTCTCCTTATCGTCGGGCCGGAGAGAGATTTTTAAAAAGCTCCTGCAAATAATGACATTTTGCTTCCATCTATTAAAACAGTAAATCTGAGAGTAAACTGGCTTCTTTTTTCCTTTTAAAAACACTCATATCAGTTAATCAGTCGTTTAACTACAAGTCAGATTATGAGCCGTTTACAGAGATTGAAGCCGGTCGTCCCCACGCTGACTTTCAGCTCCTAACACGCGACCCACATGGTGTGCATGGGATGCTGAAAGCGTACGAGTGGCCCTCGAGTTGCTGCACTGAGTCAAACTGCTGCTCAGAAACTCCTCACATGTTTTTTACACTTTCACAGTTCGGTCTTGTGCAACAGCCGAGCATTATTTATCATCTTAACCCTCCAAACCCCGAGCAGCTTCTGGTTCTCGTTTGCTCCCGTCACAGACTTGTTTTTCAGTCCTGCACCTCAGTGGAAGCAGCACAACCACAGATAGAAACAGAGTGATTACAGAAATGTGTTTTGTGTTGTGTAGTTCAGTTATAAAGCCGTATGGTTTTAGTGTGTTTCCATACTTCTCTTCTCTGTGCTTTGACTGAATGCTGTCTGCAGTGCAGCTGAAAAGTTACACAATTTTTGTCATGTGACTGTTGGCTGCAGCTGACTCACTGATGGCTTCATG